GTATATGAATGAATGAATGTATGTATGTATGTACATCTATATTGTAAGTGCATAAACGACTATTCTCTGCACCGCGTGATATAACCGAATCATACTGATTGTAACTACAAGTATATATAGATACACACGTATACAGTATCACATTAGATTAAACCCGTGAATGCACAAAATCAACATTGACAAACAATAACTGTACTGTGTGGATGAGACAACGCTTTATAGCATTCCCCAGTATTTCATATATCAGTGCGTACAACTGATTCCCATACGGTTTAGCTACTGATTCCGGGGCAGGTACTAGCTGAGTAGGGTGTCTGATATGTCTTTGGCCATCTATCATGGCTATGATATATCCACACAGACACGCACAGTTATACCACATACGTCTATAAGTTATAGTATTGAGATCCATCATTGTGCTCATGGTTTGTAATGCAGCAGAAACGTAGTACGTCACCAAACAAATGGCAGGCCAAGTCCGAGAAATGAAGTGATATGGTATATGTGAATAGGTGAAATGTTCTATTACGCAATGATCGCTTGACAGGCCTCGATCAGATCTCAGCGTCTCCTATCGAACAAATAAAACAAATTTGAAATACATACACTCGATTCAAAAAGTGTCACAACACTCAACGCTACGAAACGAACTGTTAATATTTACGAATAAATATATCATCTATAGACTCCAACTCCCCAACTCCCCATCCCTCAGGTGAGAGAAGTAGGGATATATAGACAACCCGACTACAGCTCTTACTGCATACAACAGACGCACAGTTCGACATACTGTCGATCACAGGCGCACTCTTATCGACGGTCTTGACCTTCTTGAGGCCAGTGCCCTTATGTATATCCGCCAGTAGTCCGCCTATGTTCATCGCTGGTCTAGGCTGTTCGGCCGATGGCGGTGGAGGTGGGGGGGGCGGCCCACCAGCCGGTGGCGGGGTGGGGGGGGCGGCATGATGTGTGACTTTTATGGGCTGTGTGTGCAATGCGTACTTCGCTAAATATGTTTATATATATATAAACGCGATATGTGATGTGTAGATGGATTGATGTATTACACCGCTTTGAGTCTGTGGAGTATATCTGGAAGCAACGTGCCTGTGCGTCCTATAGGCCTGCGTTGGGAATCGGCAGGTGAGAAGACCCGAGTGTATACCAACTAACGTAGTAGACGCACCCAAACACACCTGGACAGCGTTCAGCGAGTATAATTTACAGACACATATTATACACGGATAAATATTGTATTTTTTTAACAATTTATGGAGCACTACTTTTTTGGAATTTATTTATATTTTTATAATATGTAGTATTGGTGTATAAAATATTTTTACATTTGACGTTGTAAAAAGAGATAAATTAAAAAAATTGTTGCAAAATGCAATACATACGTAAAAATATAGAGGGAATTCAATGTAGATCAACTGGGACGTTTCCGACGAGAGTTTCAAACAGACAAACACATATCTATTCGTATGATATCCGGTTTAGGACCTTGTTCAATTTGACCCCCAAGTGCCAAAGGCCACGGTCCCAGGGGGAGAACTTGTGAAGGCTACAGAGACTCGAGACTCGAGAGTCCTCTCCTCTTGGGAGTCTGATGACTCTGGGGGGGTGAATAGATGAATGGGGGGGTGAATAGATGAATGGGGCCAAATTTAATTTGTTGCACATAATATTTATATATTTTTAGGGTCCATAATTCAAATGTAGACTTGTTTAGTCATATTTACAAGAGAGAGTGAGACTCGCACATATTAAATATTTAAGAAATATTTCCTACATTTTTAGAACTTCCTCTACTAAATACGATTCTTACGGATCCTACCGCTCCGGGCCTACCCTGGAAAAAAAAAGGTAAATTTTGTTGGCAATGGGCAACCCCATTTTAAAAAAGAGTTGTCGCATTGAGAGAGAGAGACCTAATAACCAGCCAAAAGAAAAACTTTAAATAGAAAATCCAATCCTATTTTCCAATTCTGGTACTCAAAACAGGTGGTCATGGGTCCAATAAATAGTCGAAAGCCAATCCAAATTTCTGGGTGTCGATCCTCGTGCCACTAAAAAGTAGACCCCAGAACCGCAAAGGTTTCTAAACACTTCTGCGAATCTGCGACAAGAAGTCGGGTAGAATCAAGTCTGGATAATAGTAGATGGTCATAAGCAATCAATAACCACACAACAAGTGTCCCCTGATCTTACACATGCAGCCAGTCTCGAATCATCGGATATAGCATATACATACACGCCTAGTACATACATACACGGATCGATACTGTACGAACTGCAATATCTCATTCTCACATTTAGTTATTGATCACGATAGAAGATAGCCTACATTCTGAACGACATTTGATTCTGATTCATACTTATAAATTGGTGTACTAATTTTAAGCACTTAGCAAACAGAAAGCTATACACAAGTGGTTCGTTCTTACCCTCTACACCATGAGTCAATACAACCCACCCCGTGGACCTGGCGGGTTAACCGAAGGCCAGTCTTACGACGACCGCGGCAGACGGTCGCCCAACAGGCGACGTCCCAACTCCGGGCGCAGCAGTCGCAGTGGGAGAGACGGTAGAGACCACAATAACGGCGGTAATAACGGGATGGGTAGCGATATGAATAGCGGTATGAATAACGGGATGAACGATCGCTACAGCAACGACAGGCGAGGCGATCGCAGAGACAACCATCGAGACAGTAGTCGAGGCATGCAAGCACCTGCAAGGTACGACACATCGGCACAGTCGCAGACGGAGACAGGGTTTGTGGAGAAGATGTGTGATGCCTACGGTTTCATTGACTGTGACATTCGTAGACAGAAGCTGTTCTTCCACTACTCGCACTGTGAGCTTATCGATGACCTGGTGGTGGGCGACTATGTCAGCTTCGCCGTTGTCATGGATACGCAGACCAGGAAGAACGTGGGGTTTGAGATCAAACGATTGCCAGTCACTGTGCCAGACTCTGTGGAATGGGATGAGACTACCAAGTTCAGCAAACCTATCACAGGCACTATCTACCGTAAGGCAAGAGGCCGCGTCGGCTCCGGTATGTGTATACTAGCATGATATTGTGTGTTCACATATGCACAGTTACGTGTGATTCTGGACTGGTTGGGTATGTGTGTTTTAGCATGATATTGTGTGTTCACATGTGCACAGTTACGTGTGATTCTGGACTGGTTGGGTATGTGTGTTTTAGATGATATTGTGTGTTCACATGTGCACAGTTACGTGTGATTCTGGACTGGTTGCGTATGTGTGTTTTAGCATGATATTGTGTGTTCACATGTGCACGGTTACGTGTGATTCTGGACTGGTTGTAGATGCAATTCGTCTGCGTTGTTCTTCGCGAGTGTGTATACATATTAAACGAGCGCTCTTTAATTGTGGTTCTGAATGTTGATCTGGAGTGCTTGTCTTCGATATTTTCGGACGGTGGCATTTGTGCAAAGAGAATGAGGGGTTTGACTGTGTACCTGCATCTTTGTGTATGATTGTAGTGTATTCATATACATATCTATCTATATATAAATGTGTGTGTGTGTGTGTATAGGTGGGGGGTGTATGTACACCTGTATATATCCAAGAGCGTAGTGATATGATGATAAAGCTCTGTTGCGATGCCACACGTAATTTGTTGCATGTGCGTGTTGTCAGCCTTATATAAAGGTGGCATCATTTTGAAGCGCTGTTATCAAGATACGGTCGTGCAATCACATACATCGAGTGATAATATCTCGTATCTTGTGGGGGAACGTCCACGTATGCATGCATGTGCGATGGGCTTCGCCCTGGCACGTCAACACATATACAAATACAAATGCAACTCATGTGCACAAGCATAGCACACATGCAAATACTCATGTGCCCAAGCATGTGTACAGGCATAGTTTGTTTCGTCCACTAAATAGCCTACGCGTTGCAGTGAAGCGAACGAATTTCTGTCTATGTGAGATATTAACATATCTCATATAATTGCAATATTACATACCTACACACATGGTGGTTTATATATAATGTACGGGGTGTCATGTGAGATATGCGCAGGTGTTCGCATTTTTCTATCTGCGTGCATTGCGCCTGGATGCACTCATACTTCTGCATGTGCATATACTTCTATACAATCTATGTATATAAACTCAGCATGTGCATATACTTTATACAATCTACGTATACAGACTCTGCATGTGCATATACCTCTATACAATCTATGTATATAAACTCTGCATGTACATATACCTCTATACAATCCACGTATACAAACTCTGCATGTGCATATACTTCTCTACAATCTACGTATACAAACTC